TCTTATAATAAACATGCTAACTGCTAGAATTGTTAGGTATATAGATACTGTCTTTAAGGAATTTACATGGTGTGTTTGGCAATTGATTTTAAAATATTATATATAATGCTCTTTGATATCATTGGATAGCATGGATAGCATGCATATTCCATTGGATAGCATGTTCATTCATTTCTGCATATTTTGCATGTCTACTATATACACCAAGCACTGGGCTAGGTGTTGGGAATAGAGAGATAAATGATAAAATTTTCATGCTGTTGGAGCTGGGCCACAATTTAGTGGGGGAGATGCAACCCACAAAAATGTGTAATGAAACATGAAAATTGTTCTTTGTAGAGAATTGCACAACATGCAGTATTAAGTCTGGGGAACTGTAAACTTACTTAATCTTTCCATTGAGTTAGACTACGGATGAATTTATCAGATGAGAAACACATGAATATTATTTATTTACGCTGAGGTAATAAATGGAAAAGTTGATGAAATACAGTGCATCTCTTATAACCAGTGGCCCCCAGCAAGGCCGTTCTCTGTGCTGCTCTTATTTCTGCACGTTCTTTGTGTTCGGGTCATTAACATTGCGTTTAGGTCAGATGAGAATGTGTTCCATCTGCCAAGCATTGATAACTAAAGTAAAATGCTGATGGAGATCATTTAAGATCGTCTCTATGCTGTTGATTGCATACTTGTGGCTCATAATCAGAATGATGCAGAGTAATTGTTAGACTGACTTGCCAAGGCTACATTTTGTGTTGCTGCAACTGTCAGCACTTTGGTCCTGCTCTTCTGCCTGAAGAATGCCTGTCTAGACAGCTAAAGCACAACTTACTACCAAATCTCATGGATAACTTTGTTTCTAGCATCCTTTCTTGCTATGAGAAAAATAACCTGAAAAAGTAATATCTGATTATTGAGAAAAAGCAAGTGTTTATTTTTTGTGTTTGACAGAATCCTGTAGATTGTGGCCTTCATATAAAAATCACATGTGACCATGATGCTTCGTTCTTTTCTTTTTGGCCATGAAACCCCGATAAACCTGGCTTTGAATTCTTGCTTTATCTTGTTGGGTATGTGACTTTGGTTAGGTTACTTGTCTTGAGCCTTGTTTTCGCCCTCTGTACAATGGGGCTAATGCAACCTATTTTACAGAGATTTTGTGAGGATTACAGATAATAGATAAAAACTTGGCACAAAATAACCACTCAGTAAATGGTAGTCGTTAATATTAAGGAATTCTGTGCTTACTCAGCATGACACTATACAATGGCAAGACAAAATTTTCCAAAGTCTGTAGTTCAAAACTATACAGTAAGTGTGGAATATATGGCATCAGCACAGTTTTCCTGGCCAGGTCATATTTACCAGAGATGCACAGTTGGTGAGGATGTTAGGATCAAAACCCCAGTTTCGATAGCTAGGTCTGCTATGCAGAATGTGTTCTGGGCCATCCCATGTATACCATCGAAGGGTATGAAGGTTCCTCTGAAAGCAAATTGAAGAATGAGTATCGTTTTGCTTTGACTGTATAACAGAGATGTTATATAGCACATAACACAGCGGAGAAAGCAGTTAACCCAAGAGAGAGTTAGGCAAAGCAAAAACTCTGTCCCTATTAGAAATGCATTGTGAGATCGAGGGACATCTTACTGACTCCTGAATTTTACAATCAAAAAGATCCATTAAGAGTAGCTCAGTCCATATGCCATGTGAAGTGAAGACCCTAGTATGGATTGTCCAAGAAATGCTTTCTGCGATTCCATCGAATGCTAAAATTTAAGGTCTGTGTTCTTATCTACCAATATTGATTCTATTTCACGTGGTCAAGTAGAACAGAAGTCTAAGAGTATGAACCTCACTGAAAATTATCACCTCCCCTAAAAACTGCATAAACCAGACAGGGGATGAACTTTTAGGGAACTTTTGTTGGGAGGTAGCATGCAAATAGGTATCTCACCTCTTCATTCATTGTAGATCCTGGTTTCAGAAATCAAACTCTATATTTCTCTACTTTGTTTCTGTTGTTTTTTTTAAAGAATACTTTATTGGTTTTTAGAGACAGAGGAAGGGAGAGGGAGAGAGAGAATCATTGATGTGACAGCATAACATGGAGTGCACTGGATGGATGATGTCCAACCAACTGAGCCACACTGGCCAGGGCTGTTTCTCCACTTTTGCCCTCTCCAGGATTTTCCGGCTGGTGTCTGGTTTGGCATTTCTCTACTGCCACAGTATGTCCGGTCTGTCTTTCTCTCCTGCATCCTGCCCACCCCCCACCTCCTGCCTGCCTGCCTGCTTGAAGGAGCAGTGTTGGCAGTACTTACAAAGGGTTAGTTACAGTCATAACTGGAGGAGGAATTAGCTCACACTCTTCGCTGATTGTGAGGATACATTCACTCCCCCAGCCTCCCGGTCACATCTGTAGATAGAGCACAGTTTTCTCAATCGAGGACAAGATGTGTCATGCAGTTTAAGCAAACTATCACATATGTTCACCACACCAGCCATTCTCTGCGAAGGAAATTGGATGAGAAATACTGAAATTACAGAAACATTTCAAATCCTAGTATCTTCTAAATATGGTAAATTCTCGTTTTTGGGGTTTTGTTTTTTGGTTTTGAAGTTCATATAATGTGATTATGATTTTTAGGGTCACTCAAGAATTTATAGTTTTCAGTAACTTTCTCTGTGTCATGATCAGACTGAAACAGGGACACTTGTTTCACTTCATTCTTGGGATTTCCTACTTGAAATAGACATCTCTATTCATTGTTAGCCCTCCTCCTTAGGATTTTGTCCCCTTGCAACATATTGGAAAGTCACTGGATATTGTTATTTGTGATGTTATTCCCTGTGCTAGTTAGTATTCTTCTAAGCTACTCCCATTTATAAACCAAAACAATCTTTGTTGTTAACTCTTACATTTATACAATCTGCCTTTCGTGATCTTGATGAAAATATGGAAAAAAAAGAACCACACACTACCTCATGTGTAGTAATTTCTCATAAATGTGGGACACTGGTAGATTCTGTAAATTCAACAAATACACATTTAGAGGTTATTTCTTTTAGTGCAATACTCTTGTAAGTCCTTAAAAAGTTATGATGGAGATGGGTGTATTAAAATTAAGAGATTTATACTATACCAAATAAAATGTTTTCACATTGTAAAACAATATGAATACTATCATAGTATATTATGAATGAATTGTACATATGTATAAAATTTTACTTATTTAAGTATATGTCTAATATACTGTGTGTGCTTGAGCATAGGAGAGAGCCCGGAACCATATAAACCAAAATGGTCATAGTAATCATTAGTGAGGCTTTTGCTGATTTCTATTATTTGGGTGTTTCTCCCCTTATCTGTATGGTCTAATTGTTCACAGTAAACAGTTTTACTTTGTTCTCACTTGTCTTAACTAATGGGGGGGGCGGTGTGAGAGAATACAAGGACCGACATTTTGATACATTATGAGTTATAAAAATCTCTCCTGTGTCTTCCTTCTCTAGTATTTCAGATATGTAGATATGCTGTGCCACCTGGCATTAAAAGCTTTTTCTTTTTAAGTCTCTTCTACATGCCAAGCACTGCACTAGAAACTTGAAACATTATATGAAGTGGGTATTAGTATTACCATTTTGCAAATGAGGGAAGGGGGCCGAGAGTTTACGGAACTAGAATCACACAGCTGTTATGTGACTGAGCTGCGATTCAGAGTCAGACTCTGACTCTGAAATCAGTCTAGTGGTCTTTATGATTCTTACTGTAGACATCTCGTCTGCCGTTAGAATGAAAAGGTTACTGCATGTGAGTGGATTATAAACTGTGGCTTTAAAAAGAAGGTGCTCAGAGATTTTACCAGCATGTACCAGCTTTCTCTGCTCCTCTTGCTTCCGTATTGTGTTTCCAATTAGAGTATAAACTTCTCACGAGGGTGAATCTCATCGTCTCAGTAGCCCCCACCTCTCCTAGCGCAGTCTGGCATTATGGCCCGTGACTTCTCTCTGGGACTGTGAGGAGCGCCTTTCAGATTCTGAGGAACTGAGTCAGGATCTGCTGCCAGGGAGCGTGCTGAGGAGGAGGAGGAGGAGGCTCTCCATCCCGCCCTAGTGACCAGGCCTCTCTCTTCCTTTTAGGGAAAAGGAGGAAAAGCCGTGGCCTTCATATAGCTCTCAATCCCAAGAGCTCTGGGATCCTGTGAAAACCGGCCATTCTCAGGAACCAGACTAGCTTTGCCTCACGGCCCCTCCTAAACCTGCAAAGGCATCTTTAAAACAGTCTCTGGAAATGTTTTAAAACTTGGATCTTGAGTTTAGTCCCTTATGTGATGTAGATTACACAGTCTGCTGCTGTCACTCCCTTATCTCCCTTTGTCTTTCAGGCTTCCTCTTCCAACATGCACTTCATCTCGGCTCTTTCCCACACTTTATCTCAGACACCGTGGCTTCCTCGTGGGATTACACAGTTGGCCTGATATGTAGCCCCTAGCGCCCTCTGCCAAGTCCACATTCCCATCTGAGCCCAATTATGGGTCCCTGTGGGGTCACTGACTTCAGTGGGGGGATGTGTGGAGTTGCGGGTCTGCCATTTGGGAAAGGGCAAAGTGCAGGCATGGGGTACTCTGCTTACTTATTGAGAAGTCGTCAATCAACTGCGTGGTGGGGGTGCAGACATGACATTTAAAAATATCCACCCCAAACTTCATTTTTCAGGCACCACAGTATATGATCCTTCATCATGAGGTTCATCTTTCTCATAATCACAAAATTACACACATGATTGCTTTCTGCATATTAATTGTTCAAAGCTCTTTTTAAAAAAATTCAAGTACTCAGCCACACCGTTATGCATCCACTGTTCTTCAGATTTACTGCGCACCTACTGAGTGCCCACATGCCAGGGCTGGGATTTCTCACACTCCCTACGCCTGCACACCTGTGCTGAGTGAGTTACAGAATGGACTTAACATTGTTTAAATCTTTTTCTCTTCCAGTTTTCCAAAGAAATTAGTTCGTTTTCTGGGGCAGAGGATCCAATCTGCTGTTTTCTTACGGTGAGTGAGTCTATGACTCCTTTATATATGTACACCCACATCACACTGTTACCCAGCGCTCTAAGAAAAAGTGCCTGCACACATTCTCTAGAAGTTTCCCCCGCTTGGAACCAAAATGTTCTTTCTACTCATCCCATGTCCTCCTCCCTCCAGAGGGAGGTTTCCGTCTTGTATTTTTCTGCCGTTTTTTTTCCCTGTCCACGTGGGTTGCCTTTTAGGAGTTGCTACCATTGTTGCTCTAGCCTCGTTCAGCTGCAGAGCAGACAGCAGAGGAAGTTTCCTTGTTTCAGTGACTGATCACAGAGATGGACCGTGGGCAAGGAGAAACTATCTGTTTTGTTCACATGATGCCCTGTTTCATGAACGCCCTGAAAGAGCACTGGATGGGACCTTAGAACTCATGTGGGTACAGACGGCTGCTAAGGCATTTGACTCCCCTCTGTGAGGTCTCCCTATCCCTCCAGTACCCCCACCACCACCACCCCCACACAGAACTGTTTTTAAAATCCCAGTTCCTTCTGTGGACACAGATTATAGCTTGTTGGACCTGAAGTAATGCCGATAAACTAGTGATATCATCCCTCTAAGGCAGTGGTTCTCAACCTATGGGTCGCGACCCCTTTGGGGTTCAATCGACCCTTTCACAGGGGTCGCCTGAGACCATCGGAAAACACATATATAATTACATATTGTTTTTGTGATTAATCACTATGCTTTAATTATGTTCAATTTGTAACAATGAAAATACGTCCTGCATATCAGATATTTACATTACGATTCATAACAGTAGCAAAATGACAGTTATGAAGTAGCAACGAAAGTAATTTTATGGTTGGGGGTCACCACAACATAAGGAACTGTATCAAAGGGTCAACACGTTAGGAAGGTTGAGAACCACTGCTCTAAGCAAGTGTCAGGAGGGATGCTGTTTAGCTGTTTTACTTCCTAGAAGTCACTCTTGGCTGCTACCAAGAGAGGTGGGCGGACAGGGCAAACCCGGGGCACTTCTGTGATGGACCTCAGCTGAGAGGGCATGTTTTCCTTTGCGTCTTTCCCAAACCACTGCATTTGCAATAGCACTTCCCGTGTGGAGACTCGGGCTAAATCTGTGCTGCAGCCCGGAGCCGCGGTGCAGGTGTGTGCCGGCCAGCTGCAGACCCGCACGCCCCCGTCCGGGCATCCGCACCTGCAGAGTGATGCTTAGCAGGTTTCGTATAGCACAATGTAAACTTGGCCTGTGGTCTGAGAGACTTTCAGAGTCACCTTTCTTCATTAAAAAATAATAAATAAAAGCTATATGGTTTCTAACGTGAGAATTCAGTTGTGGGGCATGATGGAGAGAAGGGTGAGAAAACAGTTCTCCGCTGGAGGCCCTCAAGGGGGACTTGCCTGTGGTTCTTTCGCGGATGCCTATGCCGCATCTGGCTCTAGACTGTGGTCGCTTAAGTTAGAGAGCTAGAGCATGTATTTCCCAAACATTTCATCTCACCTAGGGATTGGTTTAAGTGTAGCACAGAGAGCTTGTGTCCATTATTTTATCCCACTTGTCAACTTAATCATTTTACCTTCGTAAATGGGGACTTCTCTTCTGCCCTAACCACAGTCATTTTTAAGGAACTTGAAGTGTCTTCTTATCAGAGTACAGAGATAGTCTGCTTCCTGTCAATGTCCTGGTGGGAGTGAGAATGGGGATTGCAGATTCACTGAGGGAGCCTCTGCCTATGCCTCTACTATTGACCTTTCCTGTCCCAGATGCTTGGTACGCATGAATGTGCATTCATTAGAAGTGTGAACTTAAGGGTTCCCATTTCCTCATCGTTTCCAAGGAAAGCCCAAATGGTTTATCGCTAGAGCACAGCAGAGTGGGACGTGGGACGTGGAGACCTGCTGCTCTTTGGGGAAGCTAAGGGTCTCTATGGCATCCAGAGGTTGATAAGACTAAAATAGAGGACAATTAAGGACCTTAGGAAAGTGGGCACGTGCGGAGTCCATGCCTCCTGGTCCCAAGCTTTCTGTGAGGAATAAACTGGGAGCGGAGGGTCTCAGGTAAGCAGTGGAAAAGGGATAAAATTAGACCACTTGTGGCTGCTTTGCTTTCCTGGTGGGGACATAGTTTTTTTAAGTTAACAGTCAGGAGGCATCAAATTATTACCCAAAGTATGACAAGTTTTTTGCTTCTACCAGTTGTGTGTGTGTGTGTACGGGGTGAGGCGGGGGGTTGGGGGGGGGACTAAATATAAACCGAGGCCATGAGTTTCTTAGTTTAAAAGCAGCCCCGAGGCTGGCCCCCACACCTTGGGTTTGGACCATGTGCATTCACATGCCGCATGCATGTAGACCTTGTAAAACAGGAGTTGCTGGGCTCCCTTTCACGGTATGCAGCAGAGCAGGACCTGGAACAATACCACTGTTGTTCCCAGGCGTGGACTGCACTCACTGTCAATGGTATCCCTTTAAGGGAAATCTAGGGAAATGCTCTTGCCAGCGCTGAGGTTTTGTTTGCTGGAGGCCAAGTAGCAGTGGCATGTATTGGTTCCATAGCAACATGTCTGTGCAGCCAGAAACAATACAATGACAGGGGCAGCCAATGTACCCTGGGCAGGACGAGCACAGCCCCGACGCCCCCTTTGACTTCCCCCATTCCTGGCCTGCCTTTCCCTCCTGCAGAGCAAGTAGACTTGGTAATTGTTACTATCTGTCCCTGCTATTAACCCTTGCCCCCTTCCTCCACCTGAGTCAGCACTTGAGTCAGGACTTGAGTCAGGGAGTCAGGACTTGATGCGGGAGAAGGCAATGTCTGTAGTAGAATTCTGCAGGCCCCTGAGGGGCCAGCGGAGCTGGCAGAACCTCCCTGCCTTAGCGAACGAAAGTAGGTGGAGAGTCTGCTTTGCATCATCCCTGTGGCAGAGCAGCTCTGTGCGCAGGGCACAGGGGGTTCAGCATTTCCTGCCCAGTGCGGTGGCTGCTCCTGGCTGAATGTGGGCAGTGATCCGGAGCAGAGTGAAATCCAGGGAAACAGAGTACCCATTAAACATGCTACCCAGATGCAGGGCCACTGACCTGGGCCCAGGGCAGTGCCGGCACCGCAGGGCTGCACAGAGAAATACAGCACACACTGTATTGTTTTGATACCTTCTGGATCTTTGGCCTGAGGTGCACTTTCTAATTGCAGTTGCTACAGTGTGTGTAGTTGGGGTTTGAACATTTTTCTCACATGAAACTATTGTAATCACTCTTGATTTCAATAGACGCCTTTCCCTCCTGAACTCCTGAAGCATTTTTAAAATCTTTGCCATCTATTTGACACTTATTTTAGATTTCCTTTTTTGATACATAATGCTTTGGGAGCCTGGGCAATCTTTCTAGGTAGAGGGTAAGGCCTTCAAGGTCAGGAACTATCTATCTTATTCTTCATCTTAAAATAAATTCTCTACTGCTCAGAACTGAGTCCCATAGATCAGGGGTGGGGGACTTTTCTTTCTGCCAAGGGCCATTTGAATATTTATAACATAATTCGCCGGCCATATAAAATTATCAACTTAAAAAGCAGTCCAGCCTGCTATTTTTGCTCAAACCTTTAATTAACTCACCTCTAATGCCTTGGCAGGACTGGGCCAAATGATTTCTCAGGCCATACGTGGCCCGCGGGCCGGACATTCCCCACCCCTGCTGTAGATAATAACCATGCCATCCATATGTCTTCATGACAATGATATAGTCCCATCTTGTCTCACAGGAGGTTGTGAAGAAAGTATGTAAATACATTGAAAATGCTTTTACATTCTTCAGAGAAAAGATAAGAACATTCTTTTTTCTAGTGTGGTTTTAAAAAACATGTAGATATGAAATCACAAAGTAAGAATATCTAAAGACTTCACATTTCCTCATCTTCCTCTTTGTGGCTACCAGCCATGAACTGTGTAGCCTAGAGCTTTACACTGGCACTGAAATCATTATTTTTCCCACCCCACCCCCATATTCACTACTCTATCGAAGGTGCCATATTATACTATTTGGGCCAGACTTTTCAGTCACTCACCTTGCAGTGTCTTTGGAGCTATGAAGTAGGAGATTTGAAGGATTTTTTATTAAGGTGACAGGTTTGATAGATTAGGATAGTGCTTCCTAATTTAGTTTTGAGGTGTCTGTTGGGAAAGGGAAGGCTTTTATTGTATAACAACTTTTATCTTAAGAGGTCTCCTCCCTTCCCAAGTTCTAAGCCAACTGAGAAGTAAGAAGTGTAATAAGGAAGGTGGAGGCCAAGATGCAGCTTTTTGACTGATAACAGTTAACTGAATTAGAAATTATATCTGGGGTTGAGAACCAAAAGTGGGCTTCCACCGCTCTATTCCCTAGTCTGGGCCGGGAACAGCCCACCTGCAGGAAAGTTCAAGTTCTCATGTGAGTCACTCTCTGTGTGAAGAGGAAGGAGAAGGACGCCAAAATCTACCCCCTCCACCACCCCTGTACTCAACATTCTTACTGTACCTAGTGGCAGGGTAACTGTGTCTAGTGAAGTTAACATTACCAAAGGGCAGGCATGGACCACACACTGGCTTTAACCCCCAGCCAGGTAGCGCACGCTACATCCTTGGGGGGAAAAAGAGGATGGAATAAGAGGCTAGGAGAGTTTAGGGAAAGTCCTCTGCATGGAAACTGGGGGTAGCTCTGCTCACATCTTTCACTCTCTACACTCTAGTCGGGCATACTACCCCCGAGTCTCACTCTAGCCATCTTACCCACTGTGTTTTCTTCATAGCCCTTTGCTTTATGTATTTGTTTACTGGCTTATTGTTAGTCTCCTCTATTAAAATTTTAACTCAGTGAAAGCAAAAGCCTTGTCAATATCATTTACTGCTGTATCCTGGTATTTAAAACTATGCCAAGCATAGGAGGCATTTGATAAACATTTGTTGAATGAATAAATGAATAGTATTGTCTTATGCCTCTTTCACATTCCTTGATTGCCTGGTCATCATGGCACTGTCTTGGCTGGCAAG